GGAATCGGGTTCATGACATTTGGTTGGGACAACTCTTTCCTTTTGGAAAGGAAAGGGGTTCTTGCAATTTTGGAGAGTCGTCATCTAACGATTTTAAGGTGTGTTAGGGTACCTATAAGGTTCATCTACAACTACCTTTTGGTAAGCAAAGATGGGGTAAGGGCTTGAAATTATCCTAAGGGGAAGGTGTTAGGCACCCCTCAAGATCCACTAGGGTGGTTCCCGGCCAAACAGTTTTTGTGAATTTGTGCAATTAGCAAATAAACAAGTATGGCTCAAATAGTAGGGGATTTGAGTTTAAATACACAAGTTTTTGAGAACAATTAATGAAAGGCAAAATTTTGAAAAGAGTTACGAAATAAATCATGCTTATGAATGTAAAGGGGGTGTCCTAGGTTTGTTTGTAATATGGATCACATCAATGTAATACCCGGTATGACACTCCTCTAAGAGGGGCTACACATGGTATTAAAGCACCGGTCATCATATCCATAGCTACCCTTTTCCCGCCCCGTAAAGGTACTTAAAGTGAAGGTTGGTCTCAACCCCTATTGCATGTTGTTACCCGTCCCTTCCTATCAGTCCTGGAGGAATTTAGGACTCTTATAATAAAAGAGGGGGTTCTAGGCAGACCCTCAGGTTTAAAGGCAAAATACTAAGCGTCAAGCAAGAACATATAGGACTGCATTTTGGGGGAAAAGACAGAAGCAAGTAGAAGCCTATGTATACCTCCATAAATAATGCACATAGACAGCATGACTTATACACAATAAAGGTCTGAATTTAAATACATGGTATCTAAGTGATAGCATCAGAACCCGATTTATTACATGACTCAGAAAAGAAGCTTGAATCAGGCTTATCTACTGATTTTAACAGGTTGATAGTTAAACAAAGGAAATTCTTGTTTTATTTAAAGTTGATTACCTAAGGCTTGCCTAGGCGTAAAATAGTGTACAGCAGTTATTCAGGAATATTAAAAGACAGTTTGGAAATTATTTTACCCTAAGAGCATGTTGTTCTAGTTGATACGAATGTAGAGATTATTACCAGTTATTTTAAATGGGATAATCAAGTGTGAAGCTGTTTTTATCTCTTTTATGATCAGCAGTTTACACTAAGTGTGAATGCAGATATGAATAAGATCCTAAAACATGGTATCTAAGATGTATGTATAAAACGCATGATGTAGAATTCCTAGAGTAGAATTTCTAAATGCATATGGCAGGATTGCAGAATTTCCTAAGAGCAGGATTTCTAAATGAACGTGGCAGTGTAGAACATAATAGTAAAGTGCTAATTATTAGCAGATTTTAACACATGATTTTGTAAAGGTGCACATGCTGAAACAATAAATAGGAGATCTAAGGGCATGATTTCTAGTGTATGTATGAACCCTAAGCATAGTTTCTATTGCGCAATTAGGAACATAAACCTAATAACATATTTTCTACCCTTAACAACTATAGCATGCATATTTACCCCATCTCTTTTCATAAGCCAACCCCAATACTGGTTTACAACAAATTATTACATGCCAACATGAAATGAATTACATAAGTAGAAATGAAAATAGGTAGTTATACTATAGGAAGCCTGATTAGGACTTCATCTCTGGGTTATATAACCAATCACCTAAAGTGCTAAGATTGTTCCATAGCCTCTCTCATATATGGGTGTGTTAGAGTTCCCTAAGGACCTCAAGGGATCCCGGGCAGTGCTCACACCCAGATTGTATAACCAAGATAGAGTAAGTGTAGTGTGGAAGGGCCAGCTTTTGTGTGTCTAAGTTCAGAGGGAGCTCAAGGGTCCCAAAGAAAGGCTCACACAAAAGGGGCAGAACCTAGTAATCTAAGAGTATATGTGAGACTGCTTGACATAGATTTAAAAGAGTTGAGTTGGAAAACAGTTTGAATAGCATGTTTGAAATAAGCTTGCAAAACAGCAGAAGAGTTTGCCTTAGGGAAAATCAGTTTTGAAAGAAGGAGGGAATAGGAGTAACAACAACTTAGAACAAACCAGCACACACAAGTCAAATTCAAAGAATAGGATCATTTCAACATTCACAAGCAGGGAAGTAAGGGGGTTGGAACATATAGGTTTGAAACCACATACATAGGAAAAAAATTTGACACAGCAAGCATACAAAACAACTTTGAGTCTACTAAGCAAATCAGTCATGATAACAACTATTTAAAACATGAGGAAGAATGCAGTAGGATCATGTTGAAGACAAGAGTTTTGTTGAACAAAATTTGACATACTATTAGGGCCAATAGAATGTACCAGAAGACTAAGTGACTACATCGTTATACCAGTTAAAGAAAAGGGGTTTAGGGAACTAAGTGAGCATGTTGGACAAGTATCAAGAAACTAAGTAAAATCTGATATGATGATTACTCATAAGGCAGAATTTAGACATGCTTAGTAACAGCAAAACATATGGACAAGTTAAAGAAGTAGTACAGTAACAAACAGGGATCTGTAGGCATGGAACACATAAAGTTTGAGTTTCAGAATTGAACCAGGAACATACCAGTTAAGGAAGCAAAGTGCAGAAAAGTAAAGCAAGTAGAGTTCCATAGCCTAGCCTTGGCTTTCAGCCGGCTAGACAAGCAGTAGCAAAGTAGCAGAGAAAGAAGAGAAAGTCTGAGTGTGTGCGTATGTTTTTGAACTAATTTTTCGTGTCTTGGATTAAGAGTAGAGGAGATTATATATAGTAGTTTAGGAGTGGATCATAATAAGGTAAAGAAATCATAATTCAGCAATCAAGGAAATTACATATGAAATTAGCATAGTCTTTCTTCAATTAAGGACAAATACCCAACAGTTAAAGGACATGAGTCACTTAAGGAAACAAAATCAAATCAGACCCAAGTAAAGAGGTAAGCAAACAGAAGTTTAATTAAGGAAGTAATCGTGAAGAATCAGTAACATTGCAGACAATAAGGTAATAAGAAAAATCATAGTTATAAACAAGAGAATGATTCATTAATCAGCACATAATTGTAAACAAGCAAATCAGTCAATCGAGATTCAAAATAATGCTGATTTGAAGAGAGGGAAAATATCGATTTCCACAAATAGAAACCCTAGTAGCGATGAACTAGGGTAAAAGTCACAAGATACTGAATTAGGCTAAAGGGGAAAATCATGAAAGTCAAAGCACAACACCAACAATGCAACAAGTAGCTCGGAAAGACTCAGAATCGAAACAAAAACATAAAAAAATTAGGGCTTTAACACAAATTAGTTAGGGTCAAGACAATTTTAGCAGGAATCAGTCAATAATACCTAAGAACATATGACTAACACTCGAAAATCATGAAAACTTTGAGAAGACGAGTTTCAGTAAACCCTATTTTAGAAAATCGCAACTAAAATCGAAATAGTTACTCAAACCAGGAGATTTTTTAAAGGAAAACATTTAATAACACTGGAATCATCTCAGATCTATAAAGATCTAAGAAGAATCGAACAGTAGTGAGTCTAGGGTTTCGAAAAAATAGTAAAGATGAAAAAATATCGGCTAAAAACTCATGGATACACTTAGATCTAAGACAGATCTAAACAAAAGTGAAAAATCTCAAGAACTAGGGTTTCAGAGAACCCAAAGAAGGTGAGCAAACATTAGATCGTTATCGGTTTTAGCCGGAAAGGCCATGGATCTTACTCGAACAGCCATGGATGGCCGAAAAGTAGCAAAAAGACCATGGATTGAAGTTGAACAAGATCTGGACTAGATCTCTTCGAGATCTTTCCACGAAATCACAAAAACAGGAAACCAGGAGATGTAGGAGACAAGTATACATCTCAAACAGCCATGGGAATCCATGGATAGAGTGAGGATCAAAGGGGATTGGGCTGGTTTTAGGTGGCGGCAGCTAGGGTTTGAGTTAGGTTTCAGAGAGAATTGGAGAGAAAATGTGATTCAAAGGCGGCGGATTGTAACAAATGAGTTAGGTTAGGGGGTCGTTTGGGTTAAAAAAGGTAAGGGGAAATGGGGGCCATTGATCTTAGAGATCAACGGCCAGGATGAGACGGGTAGGTGGGGTTCCGGGTTTGGGCAGGGGTAAAGAGGGTGTGGGTCGGGTTTTAATTGAAATTGGGGTCCAATTTTGGGATACAATTGAAAGCCAATTTGGCTATATTTTAAATAGACATTTTTTCCTATTTAATTTATTAAAAAATAGTAAATAGTTTCTGAAAACTAATTTAAAGGGATAAATCATTTATAATACATAAATAACAATTTTAAAAATACAGGATCAAATTTTATGCGTATAAAACATAATTAAATGTAAAAAGGGCTAGTATTGCAATTATGTGCAATTTAGTTTTAAAAATATTAAATAAAATTGTAAAAATATGTAAAAATTACTTTAGCCATATTTTGGCATAAGTATAGAAATAAAATAGATGAATTATCAAAACAATAATTTTGGAAATAATTATTGGGAAGTTTATGGTTAAAAAGGGAGAAAATAAATCAATCTAAACCTTTAAAATTATGGAAAAAATAATAAAACCTTTGGACATGCTTATATATGTATATATATGCTATTTTGAAGGTATTTTACATATTAAAATTATATAGGAAAAAATTGGGTATCAACATCTGGGATCGACATTTAGTCGATAGGTAGTTATCTCCGGTGGGATCCCTGTCATATCTAAATGAGACAAAGTAAAGCAATCAATATTATCGATGAGAAACTGAATGAGTTTTTTCCTGAGATCAGGGGTTAACCCCGTCCCCAGGTATACCTTTTGTTTCGGAAGATGCTCGATTGATATGAACTGTTCGAGCTCTTTGATTGTCGATTTCATCGCATCTGATTCTTTAGGGCAACGAAGGTTCGGAGAGTGAGTAAATCTTCTTCTTTGTCCCCAGCCACCTGTTCATCGGACATTTGTCCCTCGGGCTCAACCGAGGGCAAGAGCTGTAATTGCTATTTGGCCGCCTGTTCGTCATTCGACTTCTCCGATGTGGATGGAGTCTACATCGGTGCTGAGTCGTGCACTGCAAACATTTCCTTGGCTGCATGCTGCTCTCCATATATTGTTTTCACACCATCCTTTGTCGGGAACTTCATCATTTGATGTAGGGTCGATGGTACCGCCCTTATGCTATGTTTCCACGGCCTTCCGAGCAAAGCATTGTATCTCATGTCACCTTCAATGACATGAAATTTGGTGTCTTGTATAGTTCCGGCCACATTGATTGGGAGGATGATTTCTCCCTTTGTTGTCTCGCTTGCCATGTTAAAGCCATTCAAGAATCGAGATGTCAGTATGATTAGATCGAGTAGCCCAAGCTGCTCCACGACCCTGGATCTGATTATATTCGCCGAACTTCCTGGATCCATGAGAACATGTTTAACTTGAACTTTATTTAAATGGATATAAGTTACTAGAACATCATTTTGAGGTTGAGATAAAGCCTCAATATCTTCCTCACTAAATGTGAGGGCGTCCTCGGGCAAGTAATTTTGAGTCCGCTTTTCCCTGGTGATGGATACTTTGGTGCGTTTGAATACTGGTCCCTGGGGGACGTCGACCTCACCGATGATCATGTGAATGACATGTTGGGGCTCTTCAGGTTCGCTCTTCCTTCCTGCATCCCTCTCCCTGAAGTGGTTCTTAGCCCGATCACTTAGGAATTCTCGAAGGTGGCCCTCATTGAATAACCTAGCCACTTCCTCCCTTAGCTGTCGGCAGTCCTCCGATCTGTGTCCATGCATGCCATGATACTTGCACATCAAGCTTGGATTCCTTTAGGACGGATCGGTCTGTATTGGCCTGGGCCACTTAGTATCCTTGATTCTCCCAATAACTGAGATGATCTTTGATGCATCTATGCTGAAATTGTACTCTGATAATTGAGGGGCTTCGGCAGGGTAGAAGTGCTTATCGAACCCGTTCTTGCTTATGAGCCCTCGAGGGTCTGGACCTTGGTCTCTTCTTCGATCGCTCCAAGAAGTATTGTGTCTCGGGCCGTTGTTTCTTCGATCATATGGTCGATACCATTCATTGTTGAATCCTGAACCCCGGTCTGTGTCCCTCGGGGGATTGGTGGCGAATCTGTTATGATGAACTGAACTCGAGGGGGATCCCAACTAGTCGTCCTCGACCCTTATTTTTGAGATTCTTGATCGAGTGGGAGAGATGGCTTACAGACTTGCATTGTCACCGAGGTTATCAGCCTTGCATCCAATGTTTCATGTGTCCATGCTTCGGAAGTATCACGGCGATCCATCCCACATGTTAGACTTTAGCACTGTCTAGTTGGACAAGGACTTGTCCTATGAGGAGGAGCCGGTAGCTATTCTAGATCGGTAGGTTCGTCAGTTGAGATCGAAGAGTTTCTCTTCTGTTCGTGTTCAGTGGAGAGGTCAGCCTGTTGAGGCAGCAACCTGGGAGTCCGAGTCCGATATGCGGAGCCGATATCCCCATCTTTTCCCCGACTCAGATACTTCTTTTCTTATGTCCGTTCGAGGACAAATATTTTTTTTAGAGGTGGAGAATATGATGATGTCATCACTTGTTTTGAAAGTAAATTCTGTGTTTTAAGGACTTAAAAACTTCTCTTTGTCTCACCTCTATTTGCGTGCACAGTCCGGGCGCGTTTCCGAAAAGTTTTATGTGAAAACTAAGTAAAATAAGGAAATTGACTTTTAAAATTGAATAAAGTTGACTTTGGTCAACATTCTTGGTAAAAGGACCCGGACCTATGATTCGACGATCTCGTAGGGTCCGTAGTAAAATATGGGACTTGGGCGTATGCCTGGAATCAAATTCCGAGGTCCCAATCCTGAGAAATGAATTTTTAAAAAAACTTATTTTCTGCAAAATGTGAAGGCTTTTAGAAGTGAATTGATGTAATTTCTTGATGTTATCGGGCCCGTATCTAGGTTCTGCAACCTGGTACAAGTTTGAAATAATAATTAAGTTGAATCTGTAAAGTTTGGTAAATTTTGGAGTTCGTTTGGTATAAATCGGACCTTTATTTGAAAAAATAGTAATTTCAATGTTCTTGAGTGATTTCGTGAATTTGAGGTTTAATTCATAGTTGTTGATGTTATTTTGATGATTTGATTGAACGAGCAAGTCCGTATGATGATTTTGGACTTACGTGCATGTTTGGTTTGAAGCCCTATGGCTCGGGTGAGTTTTGGATAGGACACAAAGTGAAATTGGACTAAGGAAAAGTTGTTGGTATCTGGTATTTTTGCCCAGGCCTCTGATCTCGCAATTGCGAGATCGAGCTTCATAATTGCAAAGTCCTCAGGCATGGGAATTGCGACCCAGGCATCGCAATTGCGAACCTAACCTGGGCAGGCCTTGGTCGCAAATGCGAAAAGGGCTATTTCGCAAATGCGACTAATCCCTCGCAAATGCGAAGGCAACAGATCCTGAAAGGGTTCGCAATTGCGACATCTGAGACCAATTAATTTAGCTTTTGACGGGATTTCGTTTATTTTGTACAACTCTTCAAACCTTAAAAACATCTTGGGCGATTTTTCAAAGACATCAACTTCTCCAAATCATTAGTAAGTCATTTCCAACTCATTTTCTTTAATCTATAACATCTTTTCACATGATTTCAATTCAAAATTAAGAGTTTTCATGGGGGAAATTGGGTCATTTGGGTAGAACTTAGGATTTTCAAACTTTGGGGATTTGGACCTCGATTTGAGGTCCAATTTCAAAACAAATTATATATTTTAGTTCGTGGGTGAATGGGTAATCAGGTTTTGGATCGAACCTCGGGTTTTGACCATGTGGGCCCGGGGTCGATTTTTGACTTTTTGGGAAAATCATTAGAAAACCTATTTTCATGCATTAGAATTGATTCATTTAGTATTTATTGATATCGTTAAGTAAGTTGTGGCTAGATACAAGCGAATTGGTGTTGGAAACAAGAGGTAAAGCAGTAGTTGAGGCTTGAATTGTGTTCGTGGCATTAAGGTAAGTGTTTGGTCTAACCTTAGCTTGAGGGATTAGGAGTTGTGTCTTATTTGCTAAGTGTTAATTGTTGAGTACGACGTATAGGTGTGGTGATGAGTATCTATACGTCGGTGTCAAGCATGCCCGTGAGTCTTATAATATGATTGGTGTGACTCCGTTCCGTATTATTCATGCTTTATATGATGAATTCTATTGTTGAATAAGTCTTGTGGAAGTATTATCGGTAATTGAACATTGTAGAGTGTTGGCTCAAGTTAAGAATTGAGTTGTGAAGTAATTGTGGAAAAGAGAGGGGGTTTAAGATATTGTCTCCCTTGCCGGGATGTTATTGTTTTTGATATTATCTCTCTTGCCGGGATGTTATTACTCATGATATTGTTTCCCTTGTCGGAATATTGTTATTATGCTATTGTTCCCTTGCCGAGATTTTATTGTGATATTATTGATTCCTTCGCCCAAATTTCTTTGTGATTGTTGCTTCGGTGAGGAAGAGTGTAAAGCATGAAGGATGATGTCGTGCATGATTTGAGAGTGTTAATACACGAAGGGTGATGCCGTGCCGATATTATGAGGTAAAAGCACAAAGGGTGATGTCGTACCGCACGATGTACAATGTCGTGCCATGATATGAGTGATAATGCACGAAGGATAATTCTGTGCCATGATTATGTGAGGTAAAAGAACGAAGGGTGATTCCGTGTCGATTATATTGATTCTTATGGTGAGGACGAGAGTAAAAGCACGAAAGGTGATGTTGTGCACTTGTCTTTGATTTCCTTATTCTTGCTTACATTTGAATTTTCGTGTTCCTTTCACTTCTTTATTAAGATTTTGTTTGCACATGATATTCCCCGTAGCATGTTTCCTCTTCCCATCTTTAACTGCTAGTTTCTTTATTACTTGTTGTATATGATATACCTGCATAGGTTTATATGGTAGTCTTGTCCTAGTCTCGTCACTACTTCGCCGAGGTTAGGCTAGGTACTTACCAGAACATGGGGTCGGTTGTGCTGATACTACGCTCTGCACTGTGTGCAAATCCCGGTGCTGTAGCTTTTGGACCACAGTGAGGTTGTTGTCTTCAGTCCATCAGGTTACCTGAGGTAGTCCTGCAGGCGTCCGCGGGCCTTGGCGTCCCCTCCCTATCTAGTTTTTCTTCTATTATTTACTATTTCTGAGACAGACATGTATCTATTTTGTTCGGACCCTGTTTGTAGTATTCTTAGATAGTCTGTGAGATTGTGACACCAGTTCTGGGTAGGTTATGTTTATGGATTTGTATCGATATTATTTTAAATTGTTACATTTCATTCTTCCACTTTATTATTTCTGTTGTTTATAAAAAAATGTTAACTCACAATTGTTAAGGGATTAAAAATGAAAAGGGTTAAATAATTGGAATAATTGGCTTGCCTAGCTTTCACTAGTAGGCGCCATTATGACTTCCGAGGGTGAGAAATCCGGATCGTGACACCTATTGTATGCATATTAAATCTTAAATTACTACACAATTACTAACTAAATAAAGGATTGTTAGTCTAGTTAGTGGTTGAAAATAAACGAGAATGTATGTTTACTTTAAAGGTGATTGTTAGAAGTACCTTTTTAGAGTGGTTAAGTTTGTCACAAAAAAAAAAAAAAAAAAAAAAAAAAAAAAAAAAAAAAAAAGAGAGACTTAACAAGTTCTTACGGATCATTTGGTATGTGAGCTAAGTTATTCCCGAATTATAGATCGGATTAGAATTTCTGAACTAATTTATCACACATTGGAAGTGGGATAAAATAATTTCTAACTTTGATGGAATAAGGTGAGATAAGTAGTAATATTCAGGATTGAGATTAAATCGATACTATATTTGGTTGACATACCAAATACAATATAAATTTAATCACACACCCTTAGCCCACCTACCAATCGACCTCATGCAAACCTACTTATATCTCAAAAGCGTAGAAGACATTCATTCCGCCCAATAGTTTATTTCGCTTCTTCGAAGAAATTCACAACTTTGTTCTGGGAGGAATTCTTTTTTTGCTGGACTCGGATTTCAGTTGGTTTTATAAAATTATGAAGGATTTCTGTCACAAACCCATGCGGCAAAATTGTGATGGACTTAAGTTCTTTAAATATATATATTACTCTATCACGATCGGTCTTTTCCTATTTGCAAAATCTATTTTCATGAACAAAATTTTGTCAAATATGTGGAATATTACAAAATAACATCTAGTCAAAAAAATAAATTGTTTTATTGTTAAAAGAAGGCATAATGTACGTTCCAATATACCTGTGTTTAATCAATTTTAGATGAACCTTTACTCTTGCGAAAGTAAAGACAATAAAGTTTGATGAATTGTCAATGTAAATCCACAAGAATGATATGCGTAGACGTACAATGATAATAGAAGTCCCCTGACGTACAATGAACCTCCTTCTCCAACACTTAGTTTTGCCAACTTTGATAATCCCTCAATTGATTTCTTCTAACTCGTCTCTTTTTGTTTACATCAGATCATTTATCATTCTCTCTATAGTTGATCTGTAAAGTTCCTTGCTTTCTTTTCTTTTGCTTGACAGGAAGGTATGATGGATCTTCATTTAGTTTATGAGTCATCACCTCCGGTGGTATTCCTGTCATGTCAGAGTGGGACCAAGCAACGCAATCCACGTTAGTTTTCTAAAATTCAATTGACTTACCTCTTATACCTTGGCTAAGATTGGCTCTAACATAGACTTTTTTATCAGGCCATTGAGCAAATAACACAACAGGCTCTAATTCCTCTATTGTTG